TGCAGCACCTGCCTTGCAAGTGTGTGAAGCCAAGAGTTGAATCCCCTGTGTCCTACAATCTTTGCCATCTACAGCTCTGCCTATGGTCCCCAGCATTCACCCTCAAGCGATTACCAGTCATACCACAGCCAAAGGCGGAGCGATAGCACAGTGGGTAGGGCGTTTGCTTTACCCGGGTTCGATTCCTTCATCCCTCTCGGAGAGCCCGACAAGCTACTGAGAGTATCCTGCTCTCACGGCAAAGCCTGGCAAGCTCTCTGTGGCATATTTGATATGCCAAAAACAGTAATAAGTCTCACAATGGAGACATTACTGGTGACTGCTCAAGCAAATCGATGAACAATGGGAGGACAGTGCTACGGTGCCACCACAGCCAAATGTGGAATAAAGAACCCCAGGCAAGCACCACAATTAAAAAAAAAAAAGATTTGTAGGACTGGAGCATAGAACGGTGGATGGGGCATTTACCTTGCATGCTACTGACCCAAGTTATATCCTCAGCTTTCTATATGTTTCCCTGAGCACTGCTAGGAATAATTTCTGAGTACAGAGCTAGTAGTTAACCCTGAGCATCACTGAGTGTGTTTCAAATAAAACCCACAACAAAACAAAAGTTTGCAAGGGTCAGAGAGCTCAAGGGCTCAAAGTGTTTCTCCAGGCTTAAAGTTCTGGGGCTGGAAAGATAGTACTGGAGGGAAGCTACTTGCTTTACATGTGATTCCCTCTGCCTGGGGTCTGTTTGACTTCTCAGAACCTCATATGGTCCCCTGAGCTGAACCCAGGATCACTTTAAGCACAGAATCAGGAATTGCCCATGAGCACTGCCAAATGTGGCCCAAAACAAACAAAAGGGGACCAGAGCAATAGCACAGCAGGTAGGGCTCTTGACTTGCACTTGGCCAACCCAGGTTCTATCCTCAGCATTCCATATGGTCCCCTGAGCACCAGCAGGAGTAATTCCTGAGTGCAGAGCCAGGAATAATGTCTGAGCATCGCTGGGTGTGGGCCCCCGAACCAAAACAACCAACCAAACAAAACAAAAGGTTAAGGTTCCCCCTTGCATCCACAGATCCTCGTTCAAATCCTGGCATCATATATGGTCTCCCAATCGTGGCCAGGGGTCTCTCCTGAGCACAGACCAGAAAAAGCCTCTGAGCAGGACCCTTGGAGTATGGTATGGACTAACATTACCACCCCCCATACCCCCCTCAAAAAAAATTTGCAATCACCTGAATAGGAAATGTGACTCCTCCAAGCATGAGTGAACACTACCGTGATCCCCAGCAGGCAGAACAACCAGCACATGCTTGCTCACAAATCAAGCGCAGAAGCCATGTGAGCATGGCTGGAAGCACAAGCCTTGGAAAGGAGCAGGGGTGAGCATGGCAGTGCTGCCACTGCCAGGTGCTGGTGCCACTCCCGGTCACCGAAGCAATAACAAGGGAAGCGGATAAGAGAAAATAAAAATCCACTGGGGCCAGAGACCAAGATCAAAGAACAGGCTTTGCATGCAGGTGTTCTAGATCTTTTTTTTTTTTTTTTTTATTCTTCAAGGGAACACACCTGGCAGTGCTCAGGGCTTTCTTCTGGCAGCACTCAGGAGACCATATTAGGTGCTGGGACTCAAAACCAAGTTGGCTGTATGCAAGAGCCCTACCAGCTGCACTATTTCTCCAGCCCCAAGGTGCTTTTTTTTTTTCTTTTTGGCGATGCACAGGGGTTACTCCTGGCTCAGGCACTCAGGAATTACTCCTGGCGGTGCTCGGGGAACCATATGGGGTGCAGGGAATTGAACCTGGGTTGGCTATGTGCAAGGCAAACGCTGTGCTATTGCTCCTGCTCTGGTGCTTTGGGTTTAATTCCAATACTGCAGATCCTCTGAGCACTGGCAGGACCTTTGAGCACCTGACCATAGGTAAGATGACATCCATGGACAAACAAACATACACAAAGTATAAAACCACTCATTTCACAAAGCATTTAATGAGAAACAATGGCTCCTAGCTCTACTTCACTCACCTGGATACACATATTCCTACATCAAAACAAGAAACTCTTGTTTCTTGGCTGCATCTTTTGTTTTTGTTTTGAGGTCACACCCAGCAATGCTCAGCTTACTCCTGGCTCTGTGCTCAGGGTCACTCTTGGAAGGGCTTAGGGACCATATAGGGTGCCAGGAATGGAACCTGGGTCGACTGCATGCACAACAAGCACCTTTCCTGCTGTATTACCTCTCCAGCCCCACTGGCTGCATCTTTCGGCACTTATCTCTGTGTTTCCAAATATTGTTCTAATATTATTTTTTTCTGTTTTAAACTGCCTGCTCTGAAAAGATGAGAAGCGAGGCTGTTGTTCTCTCTAATCCAAACACTGTTACTATCTCATTCACCTCTCCCACCTTTCAATTCAAACATATTCCAATTTTTAGATAAACCAATACCCAGTATTTACATTCTTATGTCTGTGAAAATATTTTTCACAGCTAAGTTTAGTGTTTGTAGTAAGACTGTGAATCTGTGAAAACCACTTTTAATTAACATCAAGAACAAGGAACTGAAACTCTTTGTTCTCTAAAATCATAGCTAGTCCCGAACTTTGCTATTTGTACTTAGTGAAAATAAAATAGCTCACTTCTTGCCCAGAGGTCTGAGTCATGAGGATTACTTTGGCATGAAAAACAGACTTGAATTTTTTTTTCTTTTTGGTTTTTGGGCCATATCCAGTGGTGCTCAGGACTTAATCCTCGCTCTGTGCTCAGGGATCACTCCTGGTGAGGCTCAGGGGAACCATATGGGGTGCTGGGGATCAAACCTAGGTTGGCTGTGAGCAAGGAAAGTACCTTCCCTTCTGCCCCTCTCTCCGGTCTTTGATTTCCACTCTAGGTGCAAAGCTTAAGATAATGGGGTTTGGAAGACAACGGTTCTGCATTTATCTTAGTGATGTAGTTATTTATTGCATAATTGATAGTAATTCATTTTCTTAATTTGGTAGTCTTCAACTAGAACCTCAGCCAACTCAAGTCCATGTTTGTTTTGATTCTACCTTTCACTTACATCACTCTTACTTTGAACTAAAACACTGTTTCATTTAAAAGTTACCCAAACTCAAACTTTCCCATGTTCTGTAATGACCTGCTTTTCCCTTTGTTTGAGCCGCTAGCCATTGCCCTGGTGTGTTCTGTCTTGCAGCAACAAGTTAATCAATAAATCTGTCCAACTACACTTACGTTCCCAGTGGTCTTTATCACATGGGTTTTGTTTTTGTTTTTTTTTGTTTTGGTGTTGCCGTCACACCCAGCAGTGCTCAGAGCTTACTCCTGACTCTATGTTTAGGGTTCACTCCTGGTAGGGCTTGGGGGACCCTGTGTGGTAGAGGGGCTCAAACCAGATTGATTGACACAGGCATGTACCTTCCCCTCTGTACTGTCTCTCCAGCCCTGAGACTCCAGAATTCTCTATTCCCTGCCTGTCCAGAAGGTTCCCATCTGGCTGTGTTGGGAATTAAACCCAGGTCCTTATACATGTCAGCCAAGTGCTCCACCACTGAATCACATCCCTGTCGTGGCTGCCCCTTATTTCTTCTATAACTCTTATTTAGTTTTTCCTGAAATTGATAATTGCCTGACTGTTTCATCTTTGACTTGGTTTCTATATATGTGTCATTAATCGAATCCCCAAACTTATTTTTCTTTAATTAGTGACAGTATGGAAGGTAGGGCATTTGCCTTGCATGTGGATGACCTGGATTCAATCCCTGGGACCACATATGGCTCCCTGAGCTTTTCCAGAAGGGATACCTGAGCACAGAGCCAGGAGTAAGCCCTGAGCTCTGCCTGGTGTTGCTGCGTAGAGGCTCCCTTCCCCAAAATTGTTTTAAATGTTAGGTTGTGCAGTTTACAATACTGTTAATGACCAGGTTTCATGCATACAAAGTTCCAGCACCAAACCCTCCATCAGTGTCCACTTCCCTCCTCCACTGTCCCAGTGCTACCCTCAACCCATCCCCGAACTCATTTCTGTAGGCCAGTTCTCAAACTCTTTTATTTTATTTATTTATTGCCTTTTGGGTCACACCCGGCGATGCACAGGGGTTACTCCTGGCTCTGCACTCAGGAATCACCCCTGGCGGTGCTCAGGGGACCATATGGGATGCTGGGAATCGAACCCGGGTCGGCCATGTGCAAGGCATAACGGCCTACCTGCTGTGCTACCGCTCCAGCGTTTTAAACTCCTACATTAAAAAAAAAAATTAAATAAATAAAAATAAATGCAGGATGTGATCCAACCCCTCCCCCGCAAGAAAAGACAGTTCTTTCTTTAACGGAAACCAGTATGAATGGCACCTGTCATCAACAAACAAACAAAAAACTAATTTCAAAGCATAACTATTGTCACAATACCCGCTTTCCATACATTCTCCTGCATTCCCCTCCATCCCAGGAGGGACTGTGTGTCTTGAAACCATTATCTCATCAGTCTATTATGTATCTCAAGAAACGTGTGAAAGAACGAAAAAAAAATGAATGAATTAGAAGAAAGATTGAATGGGAGTTTCAAGCAAGAGAGTTGAGTTTAGGAGGATCTCACTGTTGTTACAAACGCTAAGGGTGTCCTCAGGTATTCTACAAATCCCAACCTCAGCTCACAGAGGGGCTTCAGAGGAGAGAAGTAGCCCCTGGGGACGCCAGGCAGAGATTTGTCAAGCAGAGCAGGCGGAGACCTAGAAAAGACCACGACCAGGAGTCCTGCCGCCGTGACTACAACTCCCAGAAGGCCGCGCGGGGCGGGAGCTAGCGCTGACTTCCGGTCTCGGCGTCCTGCCTCTCCGGGAAGGGAAGGTGCGGTGCAGACAGGTAGGGGCCGGGGCTAGGCTGGAGGTGGGGGTGCAGGGAGGGCGAGGGCCATGGAGGAGCGGCGCGTCTGCTCGATGGTCTAGAGCGGGGTGACGAAGAAAAGGGAGTGGGTCCCCAATGAAGAGGGGAGTGGTCTGGAGGTGATATCGAGCCCCCCTTTCTCCTCCCGCAGCGACCATGACGAAGTTAGCGCAGTGGCTCTGGGGACTGCTGCTCCTGGGCTCCGTCTGGGCGGCCCTGACCCTGGGAGCCCTGGGTCTGGAGCTGCCCTCGGCGTGCCGGGAGGTGCTGTGGCCGCTGCCCGCCTATTTGCTGGTGTCCGCCGGCTGCTATGCGCTAGGCACCGTGGGCTACCGCGTGGCCACTTTCCACGACTGCGAGGACGCCGCCCGCGAGCTGCAGAGCCAGATCCACGAGGCGAGAGCCGACTTAGCCCGCAGGGGGATGCGTTTCTGACACCCCCCCCTCACTCATTCCCTCCACACTCCCTACGCCCCATTAAAGACCATGTTTATTTTCTAACTTTGTTTAGTCTGAGTTCGGAGAATGGGAATTGGCATTCTGTCCCCGCAGCCGTCAGACAAGGCCAGCTAGGCCAGCCTTTCTGTATCCTGCATCGCTCCTCCTTTTTGCTCCCCTCTTAAGAATTCTCGGGATGACGGGGCTGGAGTGATAGCACAGCAGGTAGGGCGTTTTACCTTGCACGGGGCCTAACCCAGGTTCGATTCCCAGCATCCCATATGGTCCCCCCGAGCACGGTTCATGAACCAGGAGTAACGCCTGTGCATCGCTGGGTGTGACCCAAAAAGAAAAAAATAAAAAGAATTCTCGGGGTGAAAATGTCCTGTCATTCTCCTGGTCCTGCTCCTCCAGGTGGTGCTTGGTGAAATCTCACTTCAGTTCTTAGCAGCATTCAAGCCCAATTTCTTGTCTGGTGGCGGTGGTGGTGGTACACCTGGCTCTGTGTTCAGAAATCTGAGCACTCCTGGCAGTGCCTGGGGGACCCTTGAGGTTCCAGAGAATGAACCTGGGACAGGCTGCATGCATGGCAAGCACCTTCCCTACAGTTCCATCTCTCCTGCCCAAGTGTTTCTCTTAAGGCTCTCTTAGGTCATCACATCACTTGGTTCTTTCTTTCTCTTGTGTTTAGACCACACTGGTGGTGATCAGGAATCATTCCTGACAGTGCTTGGGGTATCATATGGGGTCTCAGGGATCAAACCTAGGTTGGCTACCGCAAGGCACATGGTGTGCTTTTACCCCAGCCCTTTAGCTAGCTATTCTGAGCCAATAATAAGTGATTCATTGGGAACCAGAGAGATAGTACAGCTGTTCCCATGCGTGCAGCCCACCTGGGTTTGATCCCAGGCATTCCATATTGTCCCCTGAGCACTGCCAGGAATTAAATTCCTGAGTCCAGAGCCAGGAGTAACCCCTGAGCATTGTCGAGTGTGACCCAAAAAGGCCAAACAAACAAAGTGAATCAGTGTATTTTTATCCTTCAATCTTCAACCAAAGCAGGCAGGTTGAAAATCACTTGAATGGATAAGATACTACCAGGATGGAACCCAGGTCTTATCCACTCAAGCACTTCACCATTCAGCCACATTCCCAGCCCAAGAATCATACAAGACAATGAACCTTGAGGGGTTGGAGTGACAGTCTAGCAGGTAAGGCGCTTGCCTTGCATGTGGCCAACCTGGGTTTCATCCCTGGACCCCTGAGCCTGCCAGCAACTTCTGAGCACAGAACCAGGAATAAGCCAGGAGTAATCCCTGAGCACAGCCAGGTGTGGCTCCCAAACAACCCACAAGAGAATGAGTCATGAGAGGCAGGAGTTGGGAACAGTTTATTTTAAGGCACATTCTAAAGATTTCTCCCCAACCTCCCAAATTAAAAAATAGCATCTCAAAAATAAAAATAAAATAAAAGCGATTCATCTCCCAGGTCCCATCTAAATGAATCTTTCTTTGGTCCTTCAATTCTTGAAGTTGTCTCTTTGAGACAGCCTTGGAGTTCTGTAGCAGGAATGGCTGAAACAAGGCATTCTCTTTGGTAACAGTTTGATAATAAGGTGTCTAGTGGGCCGCTGAACCTCTTCAGGTTTGCAAGAGTTGGTAGTTCCTGTCTCTCTCCTGTGGATACTTCCAAAAAAGCCAGAGGCGAAGAAGGCTGGTGAGAATGCCTGGAAGGTTCGGCACCTGAAATCATGAGGATGCCGTAAGAAAAAGAGCAGGATTTCCCCTTTTGCACGCCTGCCTCCTCCCCGCATCTCTGTTCTGCTCACTGTAATGTAAGGGTCCTGGAAACGGAGCCCGTAGAAGGACCAGCAGGAAGAGGAGAGGAGGGAAGCAATGGTCAGTGGCCAAGAGAGGCCTTTTGTGGACTTGGTGTGAATGATCTTGGCCTGTGGAAAGATAAAGGACATGCTTAACCCAGATGCAGAGTGAAATGCTTGCCCTCGGCTGGAGAGCGCTCAGGGGTTGGAGCACATGCTTCTTATACAGGAGGTATGGGTTTGAGCCCCAACACCACACAGTATGCCAACCCCTGCCAGCAACAATCCTCAACACTAAACCAGGAATAGCCTTCCCACATAAAAACTGCCTTGTATAGTAAATTTTTTTGTTTTTTTTTTTGTGTGTATTGGGGTACCAGGCAAGGCTAAGGACTTTCTCCTGGCTCTGCCCAGGGGACCAGATGGGATGCTGGGGATCAAACCCAGAACGGCTGTGTGCAAGACAAGTACCCTATCTGCTGTACTATCGCTCCTGTCCCTTGTCTACCAATTTTCTTTTTTGCTTCCTGGGCCACACCCAGCAATGTACAGGGCTTACTTCCAGCTCTATGCTTAGGGATCACTCCTGGCAAGTCCTGGGGAACCATGCATAGAGCTGGGGATGGAACCAGGGTCAGCACATGCAAGGCCAGTGCCTTCTCTCCTGTCTTGTCTCTTCAGCCTCAATCAGAAGAAAGCTTAGGGGCTGGAGCAATAGTACAGCGGGTAGGGTGTTTGCCTTGCACACGGCTGACCTAGGTTCAATCACCAGCATCCCATATGGTCCCCCAAGCACCGTCTGGAGTAATTCCTGAGCATCGTAGGGTGTGACCCCCCCCCCCAAAAAAAGGAAGAAAGCTCAGACATCTTTTCAGATCCAATTTTTCCCTCCGATTTCCTATTCACCTGTTTCTACTGCATTCACCTTCTGAAGTCTGAATCTTACCTTATTCAGGAGAAGCTACTGTCTCTAAGGGAGATTGACTTTTTTTCTTTTTTAATTTTGGGCTACATCCACCAGTACTCAGGGGTTACTCTTGGGTCTGCACTCAGGAACTATTCCTGCCAGTGCTCAGGGGACCTTATGAGATGGCAGGGGTCAAACCTGGGTCAGCCGCATGGAAGGTGAAAGCCTTTCCTGCTGTACTATCCCTCCAGCCCCACTTGACCCTTCTTATCTCCCTCACCGCCCTGGACACTCACCAAGTCAGCCATTGGTGAGAGGTACATGGAGATGGTGCAGATACAGCAGAAGAGGCCCAACTGCTGGAGCTGCTGTTCCTCAGGTACCAGCAGCCAAAAGTAGCTGAAAGCCAGGAACAAGATGCCCAGCAGGGCCGCGGTCTGAAGGAGCACCGTGCGCTGTAGTGGGGAGAGTACTCTTATTTCTAGAAGAACCCTCCAAGGCCCACAGAGATGTCTGCTGCAAACAGTTCCACCCTTTGGCCTTGGGCCACATGCAGCAGTGCTAAGGGATCACTCCCGGCAGTGCTCAGGAGACCCTATGTAGTGCCGGAGATCAAACCCAGGTGGGCCGTGTGCAAGACAAGTGCCTTACCGCCATCCTCTCTTTTTCTCTTTTGCCCTTTTTCGAACCCTTGTCTAAGTCTCCAGGATCACACTTCTCAGCCTCTTTCCCACCAATCCCTTGGGCTCATGTCTGCTCACCCACAACACCGAGGCTTTCCAGGATTGGGCAGGGTGTTTGTTGTGATCTGGGTACACACAAGTGGGAGACTGGTCAGTGCTTGTGCGATTTCAATGGGGAGCAGAGCAGAGCATCTCGTTCTCAGCCACTGGGCCGATTGAATGGGGCATTATCTAGGCAAGAGGCCCTTTCCCCTTAGCTTGTTGGGGAGCAAGGCATCAGGCGGCCAGCCTGGACAAGGGGCGTGTGTCAGGAGGGCTGTGACATCTGGAAGGCCTGCCAGGCGGGAGGGGCCTTCCAGGAAAAGAGCTGTGCCAGTCTGCTGGTCTTCTAGGAAGCACGTCTGCAGTGCCAGCAGGGCAAGGCGCGCACCGCAGCGGGGGGTGAGGGAGGGCGTCTACCTTCCGCGGGCAGAAGTGCAGATACATCAGGACGTACAGGGTCTGCAGCGCAGTGCCCACGGCGTTGACGATGATCACCGTCCAGTCTCCCTTCAAGGCCCCGTAGCTCAGCCAGCTCAGGGTGCTGTGGAGGTGGAGGGGCATGTGCTGGGGGTGAGTGGGGGAAGGGGGAGCCTTGCACTCCGCCGCCCCTCCCCCTCGGGCAGCTGTCGCCCCTCTCACTTGATGTCCGTGGTGAGAAAGGGCAGGAACTGCACATGGTCCACGCTCCGAGTCTTCCATATGTGCCTGAAGTCCGAGCTGTAAGGCACCCCGAACCCCAAGGCAGGGGTGAGAGGTGGGAAGGGGGCACCCGGAGTGGCGATCCCGCTGCCTGTCGTCCTTCCGGTCCCGCCCTCAGCCCCGATCAAGCGAACAGCCTTGTTCCTGGACCCCGGCTCCCTCGACCCCATCCCCCGGGTGCGGGGGGTCCCCAGGACCCGGACACAGCCTGAGGCTGCGGCCGAGTCGCGGGGCCCCTCTTGCGGCTTCCCTGGTTTCCTGGTTCTGCCCCAGCCCAGCCCCGCGGCGCTCTCACAGGCCGGAGGAGAACATGCAGAGGGTGAAGAACACGCAAGCTCCGGCAAGGAGCGAGTCGCCCACGCCGCCCGCCTCCATCCCGCCCGCGCCGGGATTCCCGCACGGCGCGCACCGCGCCAGTGAGCCGCGTCCGCAGCCCGCGACGCCGAGGCCCCGCCCCGCCGGCCCCGCCCCGCGCCGCCGAGGCCCCGCCCCGCGCTCGGCCCGTCCCCGGAAGTGGAGCAGGAACTCGGGCTCTCCGAGAACGACCGGCCGGAACTTAGGCCCTGCCCCTGTCGGCGCCGGCCCGGGCCCCGTCAGGCACCTCCGGGGTCGGGCCCGACGGGTCTCCTCCCGAGGCCTCCGTAGCTTTGTTCCAAGCACCCGCCGGGCCTGATGCTCTTGGATCACTCCTCATCCCTGGACTCACCGAGTCCCCCAGCCTCGAGTCTTCCCCACGGACCGGGAGCCTACGGAACCCTACTAGACCCCAAGCCGACTTCCAAATACAGCCCCGCGCCCGGGAATAGCGCTGGGGAGTAGAGCCAAAGTCCAGCCCGAGTGGAATGGCTAGAACCCATAATACACGCGCAGGAGGCCCCAGGCCGATTGCGCGGCTGGGATTGACCCGAGCACTGAGCTAGGCGTAGTTGCTAGCATTGTGGTGTGTGTGTGTCGTCGTCCCCCCCCCCCCTCCCCCCCCCGCAAATAAAAAACAAAGGCAGGTAAGACTGTATTGTCTTAAGGGTTTAGCTCACTTCGCATTGCTGTAAGCAGGGCTGATCCACCACTACTACCTCCCCCTAGGACACCCCCCACCTTGGCCCCGGAAAAGAAAAACACAAACTGCTTCTCATCCAAAGCTCCATCAGAGCCTTCATTGCCCAGAATTGGAAATTTGCTAAACTTTGTTAAACCTCCCAGGCTCTCCCCTAAATAAGATGGTTTGCCAGGAGCCACCAAATCTTTTGTCAGGATAACCCACCTCTCAGTCACAGCCCAACACGCCCTTGCAGGGACTCTGCCAGTATTGGTTCTGTATCACCAAGCACGTATTGCTGCCTCCACCCCCCTCCGTCCTGCTGCTGGGAATGTTCCCTCCCACCTCCCACACTTCTCTTGGTGGGGCCGTGGGGCGGATGCATGCCTCAGTTGGCGTTGCCCCAGCCCTGACTCACCGTGAGTACCTGAACGGAATGGTATGCCAAGGCCCAGGGCCCAGAGGGTTGGGAGTGAGCTAGACTGGAGAGGAAGCGCTTCCCAGAGTGGGTTACAGGCTAGAAGCACCGCAGTCTGTTTTACTTTCTTTGGGGTAGGGGGCACACCTGGCCCTGCTCAGGGCTTCCTCCTGGTGGGGCTCTGGAAACCCTATGTAGTGCCAGGGATTGAACTGGGGTGGGCCAGGTGCAAGGCAAGGCCTCCCCATCCCACCCCACTGTCCTATCTCTCGTGCCCCCAGCTCCAGCCTCTTGGACTGAGGACAGGTGTTCTTTCCAGAAAGGCAAAATGTCACACACCACAAGGGACTCTGTGGTCCTAAATAAGGTTGGAGGAGTAGATGACACACATCCAAAAAACAAGTGGTTTTATTTCAAGACGAGGAACTACAATGTTCCTTTGTATAAAAAAAAAATCCAGTTATAGAAATCAGTACGTGCGCATGCGCACGCACGCACACACACACACACGCACACACACACACACACACACACACACACACACAGCAGGTTTTATATATACAGATCCTGTAGTGTGGGTCCTGCCCCTCAGGCTACCTCCAGGCACAGACTGCGCTCGTGGGCACTGCCCTTCCAGCAACACTCTGAGAACAGGCTGGCAACATCCTCCCACTGGCACAGCTCTGGGAAAGACTGCAGTGCGCCCCTACAAACCTCTCCACGGTGGCCCCACCAACCAAAGTCTCGGAGGAGGTGCAGGGTCAGCCCAAGCCTTGCGTCTCTCCTGTTTGTACCAGGCTTCCGAGCCAGGCACTGTCTGGCTTTTCCTCCTGTCAGTTCAGCTGTGCATCCTGGCCGAGCTCTGAGTCCATCTGGATGTGCCCAGGTTGTTCCAGCGGGGCTCCTGGGATGCCCTCTGTTAGAGTCCCAGCAGATACAGCTGTTTTTCTTTGGCATACAGGCAGGAAACGGCAGAAAAGGCGCTTCTTCCCACGAGCCGGTCCATCCCTCTGAGGTGGACGGTGGAGTCTGCACTGCTAAGGCTTGCCAGCCTGCTTTGGGTTGAAACCCTTAATACTGACCCGTTTTGAGGCTGCTGCTGGAAGCTTGTGCATGTAGGTCCCAGGTTTGGGATTTTGTTTGGGACTGGCCCCAGGACGGGACGCAGGAAGGTCTGTCTCCGCCTCCTCTGCCCAGTTCCACTCTTTCGGCCGGATGTGGTGGCACCTTCATGGGGCCTGCAGCAGCAGGAAAGGCAACAGCAACACGGCCCAGGCTAGTGGGAAGAGGCGTGGGGCAGCGCTGTGACCAATGCTGTGGAGCACCTGCACGGCCGGGTCATCTGCAGAGACAGGAGGACATGGGCACTCAGGGTGAGGAGGTCCACAGCCACACTGACCCTCACCCCAACACAAGTTTTCCCAGCCCCTGCAGAGCAAAGAAGCCTTCTTCTGGTCCAGCTTCCGCCAGCAGACCTCTCCTTCTGCTACGGCTGCCTTACCTGCTGGAAATCTCTTGTCCTGTGGATTGGCGTGGGCTTGAGGACTGTGAGCTAAAAGGTAAGGGGAAGAGATCAGGCTAGAGCGGGGAGCAGAAGGCTGGGCACAAGCTAGAGGGGACACTTCCCCACCAGCCCAGACCACCAGACCAGACCTAACAGTGATGGACAAAGGGGGTCGTGAGGGACCTGATACTCACTGATTTTCCCATTGACGGTCACCTTCAACCGTAGGCACTGGTCCTCTTGGTGATGGATGGGTTTGGCTGCAAGATAAAGCCATGGGGTTTTAAAGCAGGAAGCTTGTAATAGAAAGGCAAATGCCACTAAGCTTTCTTTCTTTTGCTTTTTGGGTCCCACCCAGAGATACTCCTGGCGCTGCACTCAGCAATCATTCTTGGTGGTACTTGGGAAACCCATCTAGGATGCTGGGGATCAAACCTGGGTAGGCTGTGTACAAGGCAAACGCCCTCCCCACTGAACTCTCGTTCAGGCCCCAAGCCTGCTTTCTTGCACCTTACTTTTGCCCAATTTAATTGCCCCAGTACCCATGTTTTAGATAATCCCTCGCTGCGGTGGGAGGAAAGAGAAAAGGCACTTTTCCCACCCCACATTCTACCCTTCACTCCTCCAGACCTGCAGAGGGTGGATCCCTTCACCATGTTACTCCCTTCGCTGAGCTATTTGATTTATTCTGGGTTTGGGGGCCACACCCAGCAGTACTCAGACCTCACTCCTGGCAGGGTTCAGGGGATGATATGCGGAGCAGGGGTTGACTGAGTGAAGACAAGCACCCTACCTACCTGCTGTACTATCTCTCTGACCCTGAGTCCCTTTATTACTTTTATATTTTGGGGGTTGAACACCAGCCTTCATGATACTGAACCCCGTCCAGGCCCTGGGCCATTTTACTTCATTTCTTTTTCTGTTCGGTTTTGTTTTGGGGCCACACCCAGCGATGCTCAGGGGTTACTGCTGGCTCTGCACTCAATAATCACTCCTGGTGGTGCTTGGGAGACCATATGGACGCCAGGGATTGGACCCCGGTCAGCCCAAGTGCCCTACCCACTATACTACTGATCCAGCCCCTTCATTTCTTTTAATTCTGGGGGCACATCCAGTGGTGCTGGGGGGGGGGGGAGGCAGTCACTCCTGGCAGCGTTCTGGAAGACCCTGCAGTGCTGGAGATTGAACCTGGGCCTCAAATACAAAGACCCTGCTCCACCTCAGTCCTTTTCTATTCTCCAATATCGGCCCCGCTCACAGGTGCATCCTTGGTCCTTTCTGCACAAAGTTGTCTTAAAACCTGGCCAACTGCCCCATGGCCCTACTTGCTCTTAGGTTCAGACACATGGTCCCTTGTTCTCCCGCGCTGCCTAGATCTGTCCTGTCTATTCTCCTAGCGGACCCCAGGCCTCCTGTATGCAAAACCTGTGCTCAGCCCGTTGAACCCTCTCTGCCACATGCACCTCTGTGCCCCAAGCAGTGTGGCCATCTGTGCCACATCTGTGCCAGGGACACATGAAAGCAGAACTGAGGCCAGAAGAGAGCTGGGGTCTGAGAGGAAGGGTGCTACCGTGTCCCCATGACACTCACAGATGTAGTAGTAACTGTGTCCCTCTTTGAACTCCTTGCCCAGGGTGAAGGGGGTGAAGCGCTGGAACTTCTCAGATAGCTTCTCTGGGCCGTGCCGGGCACTGGGCTGGTTGCACTGCCAGCGGACCTGGTCCTTGGACTGAGGCTGGCACATCTCGTACTGCTCCTGCTCCACCAGATACAGTGTGTACCGCTCCATGGCTGCTTCTGCCACGGTGTCATCCTCGTAGTGAGGACAGATGATATCCAGGTAGTCATTGAGGTGCACGCGCACTGTGTAATCCTCGTTTCGGAACCTGGGAAGGGGCAGAGAGGGCAAGCGGGGCACTGAGAGGCTGGGCCAAAGCCCCATCCTGTTCCCTGAGAGGTTCCTCCCAGTATTAGCTGCTCTCTCTCTCTCTCTCTCTTTTTTTTTTTTTTGGTGGGGGAGGCACACCCTATGATGCTCAGGGCTGATTCCTGCCTCTGCACTCAGGAATCAACATTCCTGGTGGTGCTCAGGGGCCCATATGGGATCAAACCCAGAGCTGCACTGTCACTCCAGCCCCTGCTCTCCATCTCCAAACACCCCCCTCCCCAATCCCTGTCCCCCATTCATCCTCAAAAGAATGACCGCTTGGCATCCTGGCTCTGAGCTCAGGGATCACTCCTGGTGAGGCTTAGGGGACTCTATGTGGTGCCAGGGATTGAACTGCGGTTGGTTGAGTGCAAAGCAAGTGCCTAAAACCGTGTGCAATCTCTCAGGCTGCTCGGGTTGGCCTCCCTTCCTTGATATCTGAGATTTACCCCAGATTGTGCTTCTAGATATTTCCTTAGCTCAAGGATCATTCTTCAGAACTATTTCCCCCAGCTCTTCTACCAGCTGCTCCCCTGACGGCTGTTTGCCCTCAGACTGAGACCTCCTGTGGCCCCAGGTGAGGATCTGAGGGAGCCCTGCCTCCTCTATTCCAGCCAGAGGACTGCTCCCCATCACCAGCAGTTCCCTCTCCCCCGCCCTGCATGACCTCACAGTTCCAAGCTGCTCCTTCCCCCCAGACACCCGGGCCCAGGCCTGGAGCTCTGGAAGTGAAATCTCACATCGAGAAGAATAATCTTTCTGTCCCCTCAAGTCTTCCCTGCTAGCTGCTCCCCCTCTCCGAGAGCACCCCCAAGAAATCCCTGCCCCTTTAGGTCCCAACCCCTCACCACCCTTTTCTGGAGAAGGGGGATTCCAGAAAAGCCTGAGTTTTCACCTGGGAGACTTTCTTTTTGGGGGGTGGGGCATAGGCCATACCCAGCAATACTCAGGGTTGACTTCTGCTGGGGCTTGAGGGTCTCCATGCAGTGCAGGGGTGACCCAGGTTGTGCAGCAAATCCCTTCCTCTGAACTGTCTCTTTTCTCCTATTTCCCGGGGGGGGGGGGGACCCCCACTGTAGACTCCTGTCTGCCCAGTGCCCCCCACAGCTGCCAGACACCGGGCTCCAGTGTGGGTGGGGTCCTGTGAGATGCTCTCCCCACCTTCCTCTCCAAGCTGGTCAGCTTCTCTGAATTCCCCCAAGCCCTGCCAGCTGGAGACTCAGCAAATTGGCTGCCAACTTGCTTCCAAGTGAGGCCCTGGGCATGGGTGGCGGGGGAGGGGCAGGAGCTGGGCCAAGAGGGCCATGAGGTGGGCACCCACTGCCCAGTCAGCAGGCGCCCTGAGAGGCCTGGCCCAGCTCAGCTTACCGCAGCTGCCCCTCCCCTGGGAGAGGGGGAGAGAGAGAGAGAGGGAGGGAGTGGAGAGAGAGAGAGAGAGAGAGAGAGAGAGAGAGAGAGAGAGAGAGAGAGCGAGAGCGAGAGCGCACAGGAGAAGCAGAGAGAGGCTTTTAAAATTCCTCTCTGGAGAGATAAACATAGAAGCCATTTCAGAACAGGTATTTCAGCCCAGGCCTGGCGTCTTTCCTCCACTCCCGTGACGGCCACTGACTCACACCTCCTCCACCTCTGCCGCCCTCCCCAGCGCCCATGGGAACCTGGGAAGGCTTACCTGGTGGCACAGGACAGCCCCCAGGATCCCAAGAATTCCACTTGTGTGTGTGTATGGGGGAGGGGGGCACTTTCCTCCAGGCCAGGGAACTGGCAGGTCCCAGCGGGTGGGCACCTGCCCGCCTCCCATCCAGCACAGGACCACCAAGTGCCCAGCACACAGCGGCACCGCCCACCTTGCCCTGCTCCCCCGTCTGAGGCCTGGAGATCCCAGGGCCAATGCCCACTGCCCTGACTCACCCCTGCCCGGTTCAGTGCCACCTCATTTCTGTCCCTGAGCTGCGCGGGAGCCCGGGCTCCACAGGGGCCTGCCTTCTTTGGGCCTGGGTACGGTGGTGCATGTGGCAAGATGGGGTGGGCACGCTTAGACCCTGCCTCCTGGGTTGCAATCTGCTCCCCTCACTCCTGCTCTCTGTGTGGGAAAAGGGGGGCCGGGCGTCAGGGAAGGCATGGAGGGGGAGCAAGGAAGAGGCTCCTTCCTGAATGAGAGGAAACCTGGGAGCTTGGGAACGGAAAAGGCCAGGGTCGCCCCCTCCCTGCTCCCGGCTTCCTGTCCCCTCCTCCTTCCCAGCCAACACCTGGCACTGGCATAAACAAGGACTTTGCTCTCTCCCACTAACACAAGATGGGGTTCAGGAAGCAAAGAACAGGGAGCAAGGAGCATGTGGGGGGGGTCAGTGCTGCCCTGGCAGCTGATAGGCAGGAGAGCACTGCCCTGGGGTCAGGGGGAGAGCTGGCACCCGATATTCTCAAGTGGTGGTTGGGACAGGCATGCTTAGACCTGGGGCAGCTGAGCATAGTGAGGACATGCTTGACCCCAAGCTGCACCCCACTCACTCTGCCCTTCCCTGCCTACTCACCGTTCCTCCCTTCCCCCGTTTTCCAGCAAATATTGTTCCCATAACTTCAGAAAACTCCAGGGCAAGAACAAAAGGTCCCCACGGAGCTTCTTCCTCTGGTACCATTTGCCTCTGTGCCCTAAACCTACGCGGGAGAAATTAACTCCTTCCTGCAGGCTCTGCTAAAGCGCTTTTAACCCCTTCCACCTCACAACCCTCACCCACCGCTTCAGTTTGACTACTTGAACATCATAAACAGGTGGTTCCCCGGGCCTAGCCCCCCACACCTCAGTATCTGATAATACTGCAAGAGACTTGCAGGTGTCAAATACGGAAGAGAGGGTTGCTGCCCGCAGCCAGGGCGCCGCAGCCACCCCCCCATACCTGTCAGAGTGGGCAGGCGCCCAAGGACTGGCGGGGGCGGCCACAGACACTTTCCTAAGGAAAGGCCCAGTCCAGGAGCATGGGGGGAGGGGGGGCTGTCCCGGCTGCAGGAGGACGCTGCGCGCGCTGCTGCCCAACGCGGGGGTAAACAGCGGGGCCAGGAGGCCGGGCAGAAGTCATGCCAGTGCAAGCAGTCACGGTGGGCTCCGCCCGGCGCCGGGAAAGTCGCCCGTCTGCGGAATCCCGCCCTCCCGGGCTCAGCGCCCCACGACTGCGCTCACGGGGTGCTCGCGAACCGTGAAGTCTGTCTGGGGAGGCGCCGGTGCCCACCGCGCTCCCGGGCCCGTCCGCCCGAGACTTGGGGCTTACTTGGGATTTGAACTGTTCCAGAAGACGGTGTGGCGGTCCGCAGCGGCCAGACTGCAGCACAGACCCAGAAGAGGGGCCCAGAGGAACTCCATCGCGCGGGGGGTCCTGGGGGGTCGGGCTGGCCGCGGGTCGTGTCCGCCGCGCCGCCCGCACTGCGCGCCCAGCTCTGGCCGCTCGGCCCCGGGACTCCGCCTTTTGGGCCGGCGCCGCCCGCCCCGCCCCGCCCCGCCCCGCCCGGCTCGCGGCTGCCTGGGGGCTGGGGGGCTGGGGAGGTGGAGGAGGGGCGCGCGGTGGAGGAGGGGCGCGCGGTGGAGGAGGGGCGCGCCGGCTCGGGTCTGTGGCTGCTGCGCTCGCTTGTGGGTTGGCGCGCAGCTTGGTGGGCTGTGCGGGGGGACCCGGGTCTGACTCCCCCGGCGCGGTGGCGGGCGGGGGGACGCGAGCGGACTCGCACCGACAGGTCTGCGCGCTCGCGGGCGCGTGCAGGTCCGGGCTCAGCCGCCGCGAGGCCAGCGGACCTTGCGGGGGGCAGAGGCTGCCGGGAGCTCCCGCACCTTTCCCGGGCAGCCTGGCACAGGGCGGCGGGGCCGGGGTTCCCACACTCCCGCCCCCCTCTCCACTCGGCGATCTCGGCCCTCGGCTGCCCCTCCCCACACACGCGGCTGTTTGTTTTTGTTGGGTTTGTCAATGTTGCCTTTGTTCGCGGGATTGTGTCATCGCCTCGATGCCGGGAATAAAGTGCGACCCTGTGTGTTATCAAGTGTGTAACGTGTGCGGCCAGGGCTAAGGGCGCCTCTGTCCCCTCGGGGCCTGCGCGCTGGGGTGGGGGAGGGGCGGGGGGAACCGGGGAGCCAGGGACCGCTTGGGGGGTCTGCTTTTGTTTGCAGAGACGCAGCGGAGGCCCTCCTGACCTGTGTGTGTGTGTGTGTGTGTGGTGCGACCACACTAGCGGTCCCGTGCAAAAACGGCTTTGAGTGTGGGCTGTGGGGGAGGGGCGGGATTGGTGACAAGGCGTGAGCGCACATGTGTACCAGGCGTGTGCTGGGGCGCGTGTGTGAGCACCCGTGTGCGTAGCCGCACAGGCGCGAGTGGGGGAGCGTGTGAAACTTAAGCGTGCGCACACTAATGGGTGTGTTCGGTGTGCGAGCTGGGGGGGTGGGAAGGGGACGTGTGCAGGCGGGTGGCGAGGGCGGGGTGCTAGGGAGGCGTCGCGGGGCCGGGGCTCCGGGGCTGGCGCGCCCCAGGCCCCGGCGCGGCCCCCCTCCTCCGCGCCGTGTAAACAAACCCGCTGGAATTCGGCTCTCGGGGCTGCGCTCCGCGCCCGGCTCCGCGGCCGTCTGGAGAGGGCTTGGCGGGCGGTGGGTGTCTGCCCCGAAGCTCTCGGGTGGAGAGGGCGGGCAGGTGTTTGATCCGACTCCCGTGCGTGTCTGGGGCGGGAGGGCTCCAGGAGGCCATGAGCGGGGTGACTTTTGCGCGGCTGTCTTGCGCGTCTCGGCACGGCGTGGGCGGGGGGGGTGCGCACCCACCCGCCCTCTGGCCAGCCCTACTATGCGGCTGCGCCTTGCGGGGAGCCACAGAACCCGGGCGCCCCCGGCCGGCTCGGGCCCAGCTTCCCCAGTCCCCAAGGCCGTTTCATCCTTCCATTTTACGGCCAGGACTGGCGACAATCCCTGTAATTACACGGGGCCGGGACGCCGCGGCTACTCCGCCGCTGACCCCGCCGGGGAGGAGTCTGGGGTGGGGGAGGGCCCGGGCTGGCCCCCAGGCCCTGTGGGGTGCCGGTGCCTGAGGCCCAGCTCCCCGTCGTGGGGAAAAATATTTACTGAGCTCCGAGCCAAAGGGGCGCGGGGTCTATGCCAGGCTTGGTGCCCCCGCCCCCCGCCGCCGCGCACCTGCCAGGGGACGTGCCCGGCCAGGCGTTTATCCGACGTGCAGTCCTTCCCTCCCGTCGGGACCAAAGGCCGAGCAGCCCCGGGCTGAGTCGCAGCACGTTTTGCTCACTTGGGTGGACCTCAGGGTGTAGGCTTCCCGCGTGACCCTCCCGCTGTCCGGCTCAACAGAAGCTTCACCAGGGCTGGGCATTGTGTTTTGTGGACAGTTGTATTGTCAGGGCCTGGCGCTCATCTTACCTGCTCAATAAATATTTGCTGAATGACTTTGAACCACTGCGCAGTGCCGACGCATTTGCTGGACTGCGGTTTTCGATAGGATCCGGGAGAAGGCGAAGAGAGGGGAGTTGGGTGCTGGCAACCCCTCAGAGAGGGTGGCCTCCTGAAGGAAACGCCTTAAGGTCAATGAATGCCATCAATTCATTGACCGTGGGTGCTGCGGGGACGGGACACGTGGGGTCCCGGGGCTGCACTGCCTAAGCGGGGCAGGTTCGGGCTCGCTCGGCCCAACCCGGCGGGGCCACGTCCGTTCCCGCCCCGCCTGCGTCTAGGTCTGGGGCAAGACGGGTGGATAACAGGTGGGGAGATTTTCTGGGCACAAACCCGGCGCAGAGCTTTGCTCCCTGCGTTTGGCACTATCCCCAACTTGCTCCGGGCTTGGATCCCATCTCAGTGTCAACTCTGGCTAGTCACCTATTGGTGCCTTTGTGTTGGAGGGTGGGGCGGGGGGGGTGGCGTTCGTTAGTTATAATGGGGCAATCGGGTGTGGGCATAAGAGACTTTGTGAAATAAAATCCCTGCTCTTGAGCTCCGGGGTAGACCGGGAGGGGAAACAGAAGAGCCGATGAGTAGACAACAAACTTAGGAGCGCGCTGGCGGGGTCTGCAGAGCCACGGCGCGCGCGCTCTGCCGGGCCGCTCTCCGGGCCGCTGCGACGCCTGCTGGCCTCAGGGGGAGTTGCAAGCACTATGCCATCTAGACAGGGGATCGGCGGGAGCCCAGGCTCTGGGACTCGACCAGCAGACAGATTCACCCCCAACCAGGTCCCCTCCCCTTCGCAGCCCCCAGCCTGCCCAGGCGGGTCTCATCTTGGTTCTGCTCTGGGCCACCGCTTACCGCAGTGTTGTGAGCTGGTTCTGGCGCTCAGCACCCACACCCGCAGGCAAACATCTGTGCTGAGTGGCGGGACCTGTGTGAGGTGTCTGTCTGTCTGCCTGCCCGGGAAATTCCCCTCCTGAGCTCCTTCTGGGAATTCCAGAGGGGCAAGATTAACCCTCTGAGTGAGTGCTTGGGGGAGGCCTGGCCTTTGGGGGATTCGCTGTCTCCCTGGGGGGTCGCTGCTCATCTGAAGGAGCCATTTCAGTTTGGAGCAGGCAGAGCCTGGGGATTGCCATCACCCTGCCCTGTGACCTGAGGTGTGGGGTGGGGAGAGGCGCCAGCCACAGGGCCCAGGGCACCAGCTGACCTTATAGCAGCCCAGAGGACATCTGTGGACACTGGGGTAAGGGCACATGGAGACCTGGAGCAGTGGCTGCTTGGCTTTACTGAGTAGGGGGGTTGGGGCACACCCCTCAGTGCTCAAGGCTGCTCCTAAAATGGAATTACCAGCATTTTCCTCTCTCTCCTGCCAGCTTTTTTTTTTTTTTTTTGCCTTTTTTGGTCACACTCGACGATGCACAGGGGTCACTCCTGGCTCTGCACTCAGGAATTACTCCTAGCGGTGCTTGGGGGACCATATGGGATGCTGGGAATCGAACCCAGGTTGGCCACGTGCAAGGCAAATGCCCTACCCACTGTACTATCGCTCCAGTCCCTCTCCTGCCAGCTTTTTGCTTGTGAGATTTGTTTGTTTGGGGGCCACAATTGGAAGTGCTCAGGTTTTACTCCTGGCTCTATGCTTAGGGATCACTCGGGGACCCTATGTGGGACTGAGAATCAAAGCACGGATTTGCCACATGCAGTGTGACAAGCCCTATCCTTGAGGCTGGAGCGATAGTACAGTGGTTAGGGCGTTTGCCTTATGCGCAGCTGACCCAGATTCTATTCCCAGCATCCCATATGGTGCCCCGAGCACTGCCAGGAGTAATTCCTGAGTGCAAAGCCAGGAGTAAACCCTGTGCATTGCCCACCGCTGGCCGGGTGTGACGCAAAAAGCAAAACAAAACAAAACAAAACCCTGTCCTATGTGTCCCTCTGGTCACTTTCTTGTGAGACTTGTTTGCACACAAATGATGGTGTGATAAGGGTGGGAGTGTGGCTTAGTGGTGGAGCACCTGCCTTGCACGTGTGAAGCGTGACTTTGATAGTCAGCACTGCAAAAAATAATCATCATGACACTCATAAATAGTATGATAACTGCTTCGTTTATATTGTGTATCTTTTTAACTCTTTAAGTCAGACGCTGTCTCTCATAAACTCTTGTGGGGGGGTGTGGACCAGTAGTACAGTGGATAGGGAGTTTGCCTCGCTTGCAGCTGACCCAGGTTTGATCCCCAGCACCCCCTATTGCCCTGAGTCATGCCTGGCGTGATCCCTGAGCTCAGAGGCAGCCCCAGGCACCACTGGGTATAGCCCAAAATCTTAAAAAACATAAAATAAAACATAGAACATCTTCGGAAATGATACTTTTAAAGGCAGTATAATGTTTCACTGGGGGTTTCAGAATCTGCCTACCAAAGAGGCGACATACCCACGCAGTACTCATGGTTTCTGAGCAATTGAGCTGATTGGTTCGTGGAACTTACAAAAGACTGTGAGGTTGACTTTCTTTTCCCGAGTGTGTAAGAAGCGGGCCCACTCTGGAGCGGGACGTGAACAGGACCTTGGGACTCAGCTGAGGAGAGTCGTTTCCTTTTATGACTCCATGAAATCTGGAACATCTGCTTGTCTAGATTCTGGAGAATTTCACAGATGTGGGAAAAGTACTTTTGAGATTTTCAAAAAGGCAGATTTGGGGGCCGCGAAGAGGCTCAGAGAACTGGAATGCTTGCTTAGTACACAGGAACCCCAGGTTCAATCTCCAGCAACACATGGTCCCCCAATACTACGAAATTTATTCTCCAAAAAGAAAAAAAATTAGGGTCCAGAGACATAGTACAGGTGTTCAGGCACTTGCCTCGCAGGTAATGGACCTGAGTTCTATTCCTGTCATTGCATAGGCTCCTCTGAATGCCACCAAGTGTAATGCCAGAGCAGAGTCAAAAGTAAGCCCTGAGCACTAACATTTGTGATTCTAAATAAAAATCATAATAAAATAAAACTTAAAAGGCATAATCTCAGGCTGACTAGTTCAGTTCTTATTGACAGCCA